TTAGGTCGAATCCTTCTACCTGCCACAGACTGCCCCTGTACACACCACACACTTACGTGCATACACACCATACAGATGAACACACACACACACACACACACACACACACACACACAAGCTGGGGTAGGGAGAGGCTGTGACAACATCCTAAGCCCTGATCAGCTAAGGGCTCAGTAGGAATTAACTGTCTACAGAGGCCTGTAATGGACACTCCCATGGAACAGGCTGCGTAGAGGGCTTTGTGGAGGAGGGCTCCAGTGGGGTTCTGGGGTACCAGTCTGCCCACTCAGCTGGTATTTAGTGAACATGTACTATGTGCTAGGCATCTGTCAAAGGCTTTCCTTTCTTCACAACAAACCAGTGAAAAGAAGTCATCATCATCCCCAGTTCACCAAAAAATAAAGGGGGCTCAGGAAGGGCCTGACACCTGTCTAAGGTTGCACAGGCAGTCAGGGGAACCGAGGGGCCCTGTGCTCTCTGCCTTCACTCTCAGTCACTCTTGTGGTGATGTGCAGGATGAAAGGTCTATCTCAGAGCAAAATAGCCATATGAGGCCCAGCCTTGGCTTTCAGCAGCAAAAAGGGAAAGAAGCATTCTCTGTTCTAGTCACACCACTTATAAGGAAAGATTTGGGCTGAGGCCACCTAATGCAGAAGCAAAGGCTGGCACATTCCAGAGAAGATGACAGGGTAGCCCCTGAAGGGTGATCTGTGAGAAGTAGGGGGGGAGTGGTACTGTCTTGGCTACTCTGAGAATCGCTGGGGTGCAGATTTTTTTCCCAGCATGCAACACTTAATCAAATCGGGCCTGAGTCTTCCTAGCTACCCTTTTTCTCCCAGATAACTAACATTCTCACCATCCTCACAGCCAACCCCTAACATACACACACACACACACACACACACACACACACACACACACAACCCTTGTACCAAGGCAGTTCAGCAGATTCCCTCTCATTCACAGCCCTGGACCCAATAGCCATTGCCTGGCTTACACCTGCCTCAGCCAGCATACTACTGATGCCACCAGGCTTGAAGGGGCTCAAAAGAATCCCAGGGACAAACAACTCTCCCACACTTTCCTGAGCCAAATGATCCCAGAGGAACCCCCTAGGCACCCAGCACCCCAGATGGTATGTGGCTCTAACAAGGAAGATGAACTATTTACATAAAGGACTCTCAGGGAAGCTGACCAAGGCTGGAAGGTGCCGCAGAGCTTGGCTAAGCTTGGAGGAGAGGCCTGGTGCAGGGAAATACAAAAGAGGAAAAGACATGACCCAGCATGGGAGAGAGACTGGGAACTGGCCTCGGACTCTGCAGGGCAGAGGCAGGTGCTGAAGGAGAGAAAGAGATGAAGAATATGGGTAGAAGCAGAGGGCAGCAGCCTTAGTCCAGGTCCTGGGACTAGAGGCATTTGTAAAATCAGTGGCCCTGGGGAGCTCTGAGCTCAGTCACAAGGGCTAGGTGATTCCAGTGAGTTCACCTCCTCTTCCAGGTAGCCTAGCTGTTCTCCGGGTTGCTGCCAGAGCTTGATGTTCAGGCCCAGATCATACTGAGGAAACTGGTGTGCCAACTGCATGGGGAGAGCTTGGCCATACAGAAGAACATGGTGCAGATCACAGCCATGTGTCAAAGTCCTGTAAATAACCACGGCTGCCCCTTGCTTTAATGAGCATCTGCTCAGTATGTCAGCACTGTGTTATGCACCAACAGCCCTGGACCCTCCTACTCCCACTGGTGTTCCTATGGTCTACCTTGTACCCCTCCCAGCATGCTCAAGGACAAACACAGTCATCAAGGAAAGACTCCTCACCTTGCATACTCCCAGCCTACCCTAGGGCCTTCTCCCTGTGCTCATTCACAACCCAGCCAGAACAAAGCCCAGCCTCTCTCACACACTCTTCCATGAGGACTACCGAGTCATAGACTTGAGCAGGCAAGATTCTACACCCAACCCCAGCTGTCCTTTTCCCCAGTTACCCATCCCCCAAGGAGCCCAGCTCACCAACCTCTAATCCTCTGTCATCTGACCTAGCCTCCACCCTAAATTGGCTTTGCCCAGCCACCTTCTGAGGCCCAAAAATGGACACAGTCATTTATAGAGGGTCGGCTAAGCCAAACGCAATTCGAAGATGACCTCATGGCACCCACAGGCTTGGGTTCCAGGCACACACAAGAATAAGCACCACATAGCAGGCCAGAGCCACATGCTCCCAGCCTGAGGCAGCATCTGGGGACTTGGACTCAGACACGTGTGCAGGCAGGAAAGCAGAAGAGAATACAAGCCCACTCACACGTCTGAGCCAGCCAAGCATCCCAGGCCAAGCACCTAAGTGCCCACATTCATTCATAAACATTCACTAAACACCCAGGGAGGCCAGCTGGACACCTGAAGTACAAAAGTACAGATCTGCCCAGGGCAGTAGAGAAGGAGGTGGATCAATAAGTAACAACCCAAGACTCATTAGGGAGCTACAGAGGAGAGCTGTACTGTGACTCCCCCCTACCCTCATAGGACCCCATGGCATCAGAGGGCAGACTCCCTTTGATTGTCACTTTCTGAGTCTCTGTGGTCCAAATACCTGGGAAGATGGGGGGAGGGTAGAAAAAGGGATAGCAATGGCACCTTCCTATGCAACTACACTCTGTTTTTCTTTTATGTATATGTATACAGGTATGCATGTATGTGCATTCATGTGGCGGCCAGAGGGAAACCCTGAGAAGCTTCCTCACTTACTGCACCTTATTTTCTGATACAAGGTCTCTCACTGAACCTAGGTTGGCTGGCCAGCCCAAGAATCCTCCTGCCTCCACCTCCCCAGCGTTGCGATTACAGGCTCACACGACTGTTCCCAGTTCTATACATGGGCTCTGGGGGATGGAACTGAGGTCCTCACAATTTGTGCGGCATCTCCTCAGCCTTGTCTCTTGCTGTCGTTGCTCAAAAAATACCCTTCTATGACAACAGAGAAACAGGAATGGAAGGGTGGGCCCAGTTGTCAGAACTGCTTGTAAGACAGTAGGATTGAAGTCTTATTAGCAGTGGGCATTAGACAAGTTACTGACTACCACCAGAAGATGTGGGGTGGCAGGCAGCCCAGTCAGTGTACCCAGGCTGTAACAAATGTATATTCAGAATGGCAAGCAGAAGAGGACAGTGTGGGTCACAGGGCTTTCTGGAAGCTGGGCCTGCAGCTGGTCAAGAAGGGAGAGGATGGGAAGCAGGCTACTTTCTGAGGATGCTGTCACAGTGCCTCAACTTCCCCTGGGCAGAGAGTCCCTAACTAATACTCATGAATCAGAAAGCAGCTGTGGCACATGGCAAGTGCAGGGTAATGAAACCTACACTCAGGCAAGGCCGGCTGTTGGCCATGGCTGGCCTCCATAGCAAACCAGCTGTCAGCCAACTGTCTAAGGCTTCAGTGCAGGGGCTGAAAAGGAGAGATGATCACTCAGTGGATCAGTGACACTGGGCTATTTACAAGAAAAAGGCATGGCCTATGTCTATGACCCCTAGAAATACATTGAGAGGCTGCTGGAAAAAAATGCAGCTGAACAGAGGAGCACTGGGGAGCAGTGAGGAGCCATCACCAAATGGGGCCAGGGAACTTGTCTCAGCTTACTCCTAAGATCTCCATTCATTTTCCTTAGAAGCAGTGAACAGGCTCCAGGAACCTTAGATGAATTACTAGGTCACTGGGAGCCAAGGCTGCTATCCCTCTAGCCTGAGTGACTCTATTGGAAGGACCCTTAATCCTGCTTCCATTTCCTCCTGGATGGGGTAAGGGGCTCTGGCAGATTAGTCAGAGGCCTTTCCTACACAACACAC